GTCCTTCTGGGGCTGCCTTGTTCCTTTTGTTTAAAACTTGTTCAGCTGGCTGTTGTGCGTCAGCTATTTAGAGGCCTGAATGGCTAAGGGTTTGGAAGTCAGCTGCCTGTGGGCAGGTGACGTGAATAGCGTGCCTGCTGACCTCTCCAGAGCCCCCCTCCCCCCAGGGACTCAGCCTTCCTCTGCCTCTCCTCCCACTCATCACACAAACACTTGCACCAATACCAAACAGACCCCAAGCCTGACAGATTCCTTTGTGAGAGGGGAAGCCCGCTCCGGTCTGTCCTTGCTGAAGGGACAGACTGTTTCACGACTGTTCTGTCTTTTTAAAATAGTAAAACACCAATCACCACCTTCTATTTTGTTCTCTCTTCAACTAATGCCAAGATATATTTTCTGAGGTTTCCTGTATATTTTTTCAGATAGGCATGTCTGAACTAACACCCTCTGTCATTATCTTCCACTTTGCTCTGGCTTTATCTGTCTAAAATCATCACACCCAGCTTCTCCCACCCAAGATCTTACTAGATTACCTCCTTGTCTGCTTCTTGGCTTTCTCTAATATTAGCTCTTCACTAGACCTCCTGCCTTGAGGGCTGACTTACTTTTTCACTGCTGTGTCCCTAGCATTTTGAATAATACCTGCCAAATGATAGGCAGTCAATAAATATTTGTTCAGTGAATGACTGAAGGTACATATCTTCAGAGAAAGAAGGTGAGGGGCATTATCTCAGACTCTGAGAAACTGAGAATGTCATGAGCTCCAGACTTTTAACAGCCTTGAGATTCTGTTAACAGAGATTCTCCCAGAGAGCAGGTAGGAAAGTCCATCCCTGAGGCTTTCAGAAGTGAAGCCATTATTGAATGTCCTCAAGTGTGTGATTGTCTTGCCAGGTCAACTACAACAGGAGGCTTCATGTCAAAGGCCACGTTGCATCAAGTAGCATTAGCTACCTGTACGTAATTATAATAGTAATGGGAAGCATCGTGGCTACAGCTCTCTCTCACCCTGTTACAGGAGGTGAGAGCCAGTGGGCTACAGTAGAAACCAGGCTTTGAGTCCTGACTCCACAGATTCCCCCTCTTGAAGACTCAGTGTTCTCCTCTGTTATACAATGGGGCTAAACTAGTAACTACTTCAGAGAGTTCTGGTAGATGAAATGGAGCTAACCCAAGAAGTAGGCACTCAAATAACAGACACTATTATTCCTTCATGGCTTTCTTCATCTGCATCAAATCCATCCCCACCAGAAAGCTGTTCCCTTTGACCATTTTTTTCAGTTACTACAACCTATCTCCTGAACTCCTAGGAACTTTATGCTGACAGAGCTATACCAGCAGCTTCGGAATGATGCTATCACCTGTTTACATTTTTCCCTGATAAAAGTGAGGCCTCCCGGGAGTAGTGCTGTGTCCTTCTCATGCGCTGCTCTGCAAGACAGTAGCTCTTCTTGGTCTGGCTGAGCAAGAAGCAACGAAGAGATCACTTCTGAGTCTGACCCTTCCTTCCACCGCTGATCTAACCCACATGCCTCACCCCATTGTCGCTGTGCGCCTGCCGCACCTTCCTGCTGTACTAATCACAGCCCAGCTCCTTTGCCTGCTGGATAGCCTATACCAGCGTTCCAGCCCCAACAGGCAGCATGCGACAGCCGATAGGCAGCATGCGGCAGCCTAGAGTCAGCACCTGAAAGACCCTCGTGATGCTGAGTGCAGAGAGTGAATCTGGAGAGGGAAGCAAGCCCAGGTGTGGTATTCAAGTAAAGAGTGTGGGCTCCACCCTAAGAGCAGAATGGAGTCGCTTAAGGCAGGAAAGCTAGGATTTGCATTGCCTGGAGCTCTGTCTCCTGCTTCCTACTTCCTTCAGCTAGGTGTTCAGCACAGAATGAACTGATGGAATAGCAGGTGTTCTGTGTGGCAAAGTAAAATAGCAACCTGTAATCCAGCACACTAAGGTGAACATCGTCCACATTAATAAGACTCAATGAAAGACACTAATGACCTGTGATGCATTTTTAGGCACAGAAAAGATTTACATCCACTTAAGGAACTCCCTTTTCCATCCTTCCCTCTTTCGTCAACCTTCTAAATGAAAACAATCAGTAGCAGAATCAGTATGTATTATTTGTCAGGTAAGATGTGTTCACATAGGCAAATTTTAAAGAAGAACAAAAATAAGTTTGTATCATCAGTAGATCGCAGGCTTCTTGTGTTTCTACAAAAGCAAGGAGAGGTGCAGTCATCAGGTAGTTCACACTTTTGAAGGGAATAGAAAACTCAGGATTATGACTAGGTTACAAATATATGCTAAAATTTTTTAAATTTACCAAAAATAAAATAAAACTTTCAAAAGAAGGAGCCTACTTTGTGAGTTCAAGCATTTGTCCAAGTGAAGGTCTTTCTGTTGGACCAACATGAAGACAGATAAATAACTTTGGCTTGTGTAGCCTGAGCGGAGATGAGAGAAACAGGACTATGGGCTTAAGATCAGAGAAAACATGGACTGGGATGGGATGACCTCCTTCCGGTTTCCCCAAAGCCGTCTGTTCTTATCCTAAAGGTTATGAAAGATTTTTTTTTTTGAGACTAGCTGAACAAATGAGATCCTGTTCCTTCCTTGGGAAAACTTGTTTATACTGTATCCATTTTTAGACCTTGTAAAAATTGGTGAACTCAGTTCTTCCCTGTTAGCCCAATTCTCCCACACTCAGCAAATATCAACAGGAAAGAGCTTCCTTCGGTCACTGGTAACGATGAAAGCAAGCGCTCACAGGCCCTTAATAAGCTGGCTGCACTGACAGAGGAGAAGACAGACACATTTTCCAGCTCATGTTTATAGAATAACAGGTTTGAAAGCACAGGAAAAGATACCAAAATTTAGGTAAATTTATTCTGACAGTGACAACAGCATCGTCTCTCACACAGTTCATACCAGCTTAAGGATGCATTTTGGAACTGTCAAAGCTTTGAAGCAGAAAATTATTCTCAGTTGCTGAAACTCAGTTAAGTAAATTTCACTATGCAAGGAAAAAACAAGTTACTTTTGGAAGAACTGTGGGGGGAGAAATTTCAGGCAGGAAACCAGAAAATCAGCAGACCAATCAAAGGACGTGCCATCCCCAGGGAAGGAGGGTAGTGGTGCAGCAAGATAGCAGGAGGTGACCAGGACCCATTCCAGAGAGTAAACAAAGCATATTCTAAAAGGGACGATGACTTAGAGCCAATGACTGTGTCAATTAAATCCACCAGAGTGAAATGTTGGGCAGCTTGGCCCAGTGGCCAAGCTGTGCCAATCTGAGTCACAAAATAAATATTGAAAACATTGGATGCCCATATAATAACAGAACATGAGTAACTCCATGCTGAACTAAACACATAATTAATGAATAAATAATGGGGGGACAGAGAATGGACAGAGCTCCCTTTCAGTAGATTACCTATTATTAAATATAGAAGGAACAAAATCATTAGAAAATCATTGTTAGGCAAACATTACAGTAATAATTGTTGCAAGAACTACTGATCCTAAAATTAGCAGTTTATAAAAGTATAATAAGAAACATGTCTAATATTCTTAACAAGAACGTGTTTTGTATATTTAGAAACAGAAAATAATACCTTCTCACAAGACACATACCCATTACAAGTGGAAAGGTAGCGTCTTTATAATGAAGAAACCTGTCACATCTTTTTGACCAAAAATCATATTGACAATCATCAATGATCAGGCACATCAACATCTGTGGGCCCTGCTATAAGGTAGTAAGAAGGGCAATCATTTCTGGGCTCTTCCTGCCTACAATGCACAACTGCAATCTAAGCATACAAAAACAGAGAAACTCAAAGTGAGAGACCATTTATAAAATAACTGCTTAAATACTTCAGAAGTGTTAAACCCAGAAAGACAAAGACAGATTGAGAAGTGCTAACAAATTGGAGACACTCAGAGGCCAATAATGTCAAATATAATGAGGGATCTTGGATTGGGTCCTGTTCCAGAAAAGGACATTCCTGGGGACTTGGATATGTGAAAAAGTTCTATAGGTTAATCAAGAGTGTTGTGCCAATGTTAATTTCCTGTTTTTGACAGCTGTGTTTAGAGTCTAGGTAAGATGTCAACATTGGAGGGAACTGGGTGAAAAGTATAGAGGAACTCTATCATAATTTTGTAACTACTCTGTACATCTAAAATTATAACAAAACAAAGAATTAAAAATAAAGTTGAAGTCAGTTGGCTTGGTTCAGGAGGCAGCCAGGCCCAGATTTGGATCATAACTGTCCCAAGGGAGACCTAAGACCTTGAGGGAAAGCACAGAGGAGAGTCAGAAAAGGAGAGAGTTGTAGATCTCAGCCATTTCCCAGGAGACTAGGGGACAACAGTCTCTAAAACAGTGACACTCCTCTGTGCCCCTGAGGAATACTGATCTCCTCAATAGCCTCTTTTCACTAGATCTTTCAAAACCTAAACATGTATATCAAACATGTTTTGTTCAATAAAGGAAAGTCATGTCCATAAAAGTCTATTTTGAGTTAAAACCATCTCGTGGGCATTACAATTCTTAAAGATACTTCTATAAATAACATCATCCATCTGATAAGTAGAAATAACTGTAATAGGTATTGTTAGTGTGCATCTCTTGCACGTATTTAAGCAGTGGTGGAGAGACGTGTCAAGAGAAAAAGAATTAAACTTAACGAGATAGAAACTGTTATTTTATAAATAAGGCTTTCAACTTGAAAACCTGGATTTTTTTATTGTAGCACAACTACTAATTGTTTTGGAATGACTGGAGACAACCAGATCCCACTGGGAGGTTAACTCTTTTGTCACCCTGGAATCCTGCTCTACCATGACATCACATAGCAAATGCATCCACTGCACCAGCGGGGGTGGGGGG